AATATTCTTATACGTTATCAAAGAATAAGCTAAGAAGGCAATAAAATATTTTTATGCTTTATCAATTCTTATAACTTACGAATTTGCTCGAATCGTGATTGATTTTTGTTACATTGCAGAAAAACAATTTTTTGATTCCTGATTTGACACCTTTTACTTGTTCGAAAATAGTAGCAGTAAGTGTAATAAGAAACCTTCTACCAGAATCGAACCAATGACCTTTCGCTTACGAAGCGAACGCTCCACCATCTAAACTAAGAAGGCAATAAAATATTCTTATACGTTATCAATTCTTTGATACTTAGTAATTTGCTCGAATCGTGATTATTTTTGTTACATTGCAGAAAAACAATTTTTTGATTCCTGATTTGACACCTTTTACTTGTTCGAAAATAGTAGCAGTAAGTGTAATAAGAAGCCTTCTACAAGAATCGAACCACTGTCCTTTCGCTTACGAAGCGAACGCTTTACCATCTAAGCTAAGAAGGCAATAAAATATTTTTATGCTTTATCAATTCTTTGATAACTTACGAATTTGCTCGAATCGTGATTGATTTTTGTTACATTGCAGAAAAAAACAATTTTTTGATTCCTGATTTAACACCTTTTACTGTTCGAAAATAGTAGTAGTAAGTGTAATAAGAAACCTTCTACCAGAATCGAACCAATGACCTTTCGCTTACGAAGCAAACGCTCTACCATCTAAACTAAGAAGGCAATAAAAATATTCTTATACGTTATCAAAGAATAAGCTAAGAAGGCAATAAAATATTTTTATGCTTTATCAATTCTTTGATAACTTACGAATTTGCTCGAATCGTGATTGATTTTTGTTACATTGCAGAAAAACAATTTTTTGATTCCTGATTTAACACCTTTTACTTGTTCGAAAATAGTAGCAGTAAGTGTAATACCTTCTACCGGAATCGAACCAATGACCTTTCGCTTACGAAGCGAACGCTCTACCATCTAAGCAGGCAATAAAATATTCTTATACGTTATCAATTCTTTGATACTTAGCAATTTGCTCGAATCGTGATTATTTTTGTTACATTGCAGAAAAACAATTTTTTGATTCCTGATTTAACACCTTTTACTGTTCGAAAATAGTAGCAGTAAGTGTAATAAGAAACCTTCTACCAGAATCGAACCAATGACCTTTCGCTTACGAAGCAAACGCTCTACCATCTAAACTAAGAAGGCAATAAAATATTCTTATACGTTATCAAAGAATAAGCTAAGAAGGCAATAAAATATTTTTATGCTTTATCAATTCTTATAACTTACGAATTTGCTCGAATCGTGATTGATTTTTGTTACATTGCAGAAAAACAATTTTTTGATTCCTGATTTGACACCTTTTACTTGTTCGAAAATAGTAGCAGTAAGTGTAATAAGAAACCTTCTACCAGAATCGAACCAATGACCTTTCGCTTACGAAGCAAACGCTCTACCATCTAAACTAAGAAGGCAATAAAATATTCTTATACGTTATCAAAGAATAAGCTAAGAAGGCAATAAAATATTTTTATGCTTTATCAATTCTTTGATAACTTACGAATTTGCTCGAATCGTGATTGATTTTTGTTACATTGCAGAAAAACAATTTTTTGATTCCTGATTTAACACCTTTTACTTGTTCGAAAATAGTAGCAGTAAGTGTAATACCTTCTACCGGAATCGAACCAATGACCTTTCGCTTACGAAGCGAACGCTCTACCATCTAAGCAGGCAATAAAATATTCTTATACGTTATCAATTCTTTGATACTTAGCAATTTGCTCGAATCGTGATTATTTTTGTTACATTGCAGAAAAACAATTTTTTGATTCCTGATTTAACACCTTTTACTGTTCGAAAATAGTAGCAGTAAGTGTAATAAGAAACCTTCTACCAGAATCGAACCAATGACCTTTCGCTTACGAAGCAAACGCTCTACCATCTAAACTAAGAAGGCAATAAAATATTCTTATACGTTATCAAAGAATAAGCTAAGAAGGCAATAAAATATTTTTATGCTTTATCAATTCTTATAACTTACGAATTTGCTCGAATCGTGATTGATTTTTGTTACATTGCAGAAAAACAATTTTTTGATTCCTGATTTGACACCTTTTACTTGTTCGAAAATAGTAGCAGTAAGTGTAATAAGAAACCTTCTACCAGAATCGAACCAATGACCTTTCGCTTACGAAGCGAACGCTCCACCATCTAAACTAAGAAGGCAATAAAATATTCTTATACGTTATCAATTCTTTGATACTTAGTAATTTGCTCGAATCGTGATTATTTTTGTTACATTGCAGAAAAACAATTTTTGATTCCTGATTTGACACCTTTTACTTGTTCGAAAATAGTAGCAGTAAGTGTAATAAGAAGCCTTCTACAAGAATCGAACCACTGTCCTTTCGCTTACGAAGCGAACGCTTTACCATCTAAGCTAAGAAGGCAATAAAATATTTTTATGCTTTATCAATTCTTTGATAACTTACGAATTTGCTCGAATCGTGATTGATTTTTGTTACATTGCAGAAAAACAATTTTTTGATTCCTGATTTAACACCTTTTACTGTTCGAAAATAGTAGTAGTAAGTGTAATAAGAAACCTTCTACCAGAATCGAACCAATGACCTTTCGCTTACGAAGCAAACGCTCTACCATCTAAACTAAGAAGGCAATAAAATATTTTTATGCTTTATCAATTCTTTGATAACTTACGAATTTGCTCGAATCGTGATTGATTTTTGTTACATTGCAGAAAAACAATTTTTTGATTCCTGATTTAACACCTTTTACTTGTTCGAAAATAGTAGCAGTAAGTGTAATACCTTCTACCGGAATCGAACCAATGACCTTTCGCTTACGAAGCGAACGCTCTACCATCTAAGCAGGCAATAAAATATTCTTATACGTTATCAATTCTTTGATACTTAGCAATTTGCTCGAATCGTGATTATTTTTGTTACATTGCAGAAAAACAATTTTTTGATTCCTGATTTAACACCTTTTACTGTTCGAAAATAGTAGCAGTAAGTGTAATAAGAAACCTTCTACCAGAATCGAACCAATGACCTTTCGCTTACGAAGCAAACGCTCTACCATCTAAACTAAGAAGGCAATAAAATATTCTTATACGTTATCAAAGAATAAGCTAAGAAGGCAATAAAATATTTTTATGCTTTATCAATTCTTATAACTTACGAATTTGCTCGAATCGTGATTGATTTTTGTTACATTGCAGAAAAACAATTTTTTGATTCCTGATTTGACACCTTTTACTTGTTCGAAAATAGTAGCACTGAGTGTAATAAGAAACCTTCTACCAGAATCGAACCAATGACCTTTCGCTTACGAAGCAAACGCTCTACCATCTAAACTAAGAAGGCAATAAAATATTCTTATACGTTATCAAAGAATAAGCTAAGAAGGCAATAAAATATTTTTATGCTTTATCAATTCTTTGATAACTTACGAATTTGCTCGAATCGTGATTGATTTTTGTTACATTGCAGAAAAACAATTTTTTGATTCCTGATTTAACACCTTTTACTTGTTCGAAAATAGTAGCAGTAAGTGTAATACCTTCTACCGGAATCGAACCAATGACCTTTCGCTTACGAAGCGAACGCTCTACCATCTAAGCAGGCAATAAAATATTCTTATACGTTATCAATTCTTTGATACTTAGCAATTTGCTCGAATCGTGATTATTTTTGTTACATTGCAGAAAAACAATTTTTTGATTCCTGATTTAACACCTTTTACTGTTCGAAAATAGTAGCAGTAAGTGTAATAAGAAACCTTCTACCAGAATCGAACCAATGACCTTTCGCTTACGAAGCAAACGCTCTACCATCTAAACTAAGAAGGCAATAAAATATTCTTATACGTTATCAAAGAATAAGCTAAGAAGGCAATAAAATATTTTTATGCTTTATCAATTCTTATAACTTACGAATTTGCTCGAATCGTGATTGATTTTTGTTACATTGCAGAAAAAACAATTTTTTGATTCCTGATTTGACACCTTTTACTTGTTCGAAAATAGTAGCAGTAAGTGTAATAAGAAACCTTCTTACCAGAATCGAACCAATGACCTTTCGCTTACGAAGCGAACGCTCCACCATCTAAACTAAGAAGGCAATAAAATATTCTTATACGTTATCAATTCTTTGATACTTAGTAATTTGCTCGAATCGTGATTATTTTTGTTACATTGCAGAAAAAACAATTTTTTGATTCCTGATTTGACACCTTTTACTTGTTCGAAAATAGTAGCAGTAAGTGTAATAAGAAGCCTTCTACAAGAATCGAACCACTGTCCTTTCGCTTACGAAGCGAACGCTTTACCATCTAAGCTAAGAAGGCAATAAAATATTTTTATGCTTTATCAATTCTTTGATAACTTACGAATTTGCTCGAATCGTGATTGATTTTTGTTACATTGCAGAAAAACAATTTTTTGATTCCTGATTTAACACCTTTTACTGTTCGAAAATAGTAGTAGTAAGTGTAATAAGAAACCTTCTACCAGAATCGAACCAATGACCTTTCGCTTACGAAGCAAACGCTCTACCATCTAAACTAAGAAGGCAATAAAATATTTTTATGCTTTATCAATTCTTTGATAACTTACGAATTTGCTCGAATCGTGATTGATTTTTGTTACATTGCAGAAAAACAATTTTTTGATTCCTGATTTAACACCTTTTACTTGTTCGAAAATAGTAGCAGTAAGTGTAATACCTTCTACCGGAATCGAACCAATGACCTTTCGCTTACGAAGCGAACGCTCTACCATCTAAGCAGGCAATAAAATATTCTTATACGTTATCAATTCTTTGATACTTAGCAATTTGCTCGAATCGTGATTATTTTTGTTACATTGCAGAAAAACAATTTTTTGATTCCTGATTTAACACCTTTTACTGTTCGAAAATAGTAGCAGTAAGTGTAATAAGAAACCTTCTACCAGAATCGAACCAATGACCTTTCGCTTACGAAGCAAACGCTCTACCATCTAAACTAAGAAGGCAATAAAATATTCTTATACGTTATCAAAGAATAAGCTAAGAAGGCAATAAAATATTTTTATGCTTTATCAATTCTTATAACTTACGAATTTGCTCGAATCGTGATTGATTTTTGTTACATTGCAGAAAAACAATTTTTTGATTCCTGATTTGACACCTTTTACTTGTTCGAAAATAGTAGCACTGAGTGTAATAAGAAACCTTCTACCAGAATCGAACCAATGACCTTTCGCTTACGAAGCAAAACGCTCTACCATCTAAACTAAGAAGGCAATAAAATATTCTTATACGTTATCAAAGAATAAGCTAAGAAGGCAATAAAATATTTTTATGCTTTATCAATTCTTATAACTTACGAATTTGCTCGAATCGTGATTGATTTTTGTTACATTGCAGAAAAACAATTTTTTGATTCCTGATTTAACACCTTTTACTTGTTCGAAAATAGTAGCAGTAAGTGTAATACCTTCTACCGGAATCGAACCAATGACCTTTCGCTTACGAAGCGAACGCTCTACCATCTAAGCAGGCAATAAAAATATTCTTATACGTTATCAATTCTTTGATACTTAGCAATTTGCTCGAATCGTGATTATTTTTGTTACATTGCAGAAAAACAATTTTTTGATTCCTGATTTAACACCTTTTACTGTTCGAAAATAGTAGCAGTAAGTGTAATAAGAAACCTTCTACCAGAATCGAACCAATGACCTTTCGCTTACGAAGCGAACGCTCCACCATCTAAACTAAGAAGGCAATAAAATATTCTTATACGTTATCAATTCTTTGATACTTAGTAATTTGCTCGAATCGTGATTATTTTTGTTACATTGCAGAAAAACAATTTTTTGATTCCTGATTTGACACCTTTTACTTGTTCGAAAATAGTAGCAGTAAGTGTAATAAGAAACCTTCTACCAGAATCGAACCAATGACCTTTCGCTTACGAAGCAAACGCTCTACCATCTAAACTAAGAAGGCAATAAAATATTCTTATACGTTATCAAAGAATAAGCTAAGAAGGCAATAAAATATTTTTATGCTTTATCAATTCTTATAACTTACGAATTTGCTCGAATCGTGATTGATTTTTGTTACATTGCAGAAAAACAATTTTTTGATTCCTGATTTGACACCTTTTACTTGTTCGAAAATAGTAGCACTGAGTGTAATAAGAAGCCTTCTACCGGAATCGAACCAATGACCTTTCGCTTACGAAGCGAACGCTCTACCATCTAAGCTAAGAAGGCAATAAAATATTCTTATACGTTATCAAAGAATAAGCTAAGAAGGCAATAAAATATTTTTATGCTTTATCAATTCTTTGAACTTACGAATTTGCTCGAATCGTGATTGATTTTTGTTACATTGCAGAAAAACAATTTTTTGATTCCTGATTTGACACCTTTTACTTGTTCGAAAATAGTAGCACTGAGTGTAATAAGAAGCCTTCTACCGGAATCGAACCCATGACCTTTCGCTTACGAAGCGAACGCTCTACCATCTAAGCTAAGAAGGCAATAAAATATTCTTATACGTTATCAATTCTTTGATACTTAGCAATTTGCTCGAATCGTGATGATTTTTGTTACATTGCAGAAAAACAATTTTTTGATTCCTGATTTGACACCTTTTACTTGTTCGAAAATAGTAGCACTGAGTGTAATAAGAAGCCTTCTACCGGAATCGAACCAGTGACCTTTCGCTTACGAAGCGAACGCTCCACCATCTAAACTAAGAAGGCAATAAAATATTCTTATACGTTATCAATCTTTGATACTTAGTAATTTGCTCGAATCGTGATTATTTTTTGTTACATTGCAGAAAAACAATTTTTTGATTCCTGATTTGACACCTTTTACTTGTTCGAAAATAGTAGCAGTAAGTGTAATAAGAAGCCTTCTACAAGAATCGAACCACTGTCCTTTCGCTTACGAAGCGAACGCTTTACCATCTAAGCTAAGAAGGCAATAAAATATTTTTATGCTTTATCAATTCTTTGATAACTTACGAATTTGCTCGAATCGTGATTGATTTTTGTTACATTGCAGAAAAACAATTTTTTGATTCCTGATTTAACACCTTTTACTTGTTCGAAAATAGTAGCACTGAGTGTAATAAGAAGCCTTCTACCGGAATCGAACCAATGACCTTTCGCTTACGAAGCGAAAAAAAAAACGCTCTACCATCTAAGCTAAGAAGGCAATAAAATATTCTTATACGTTATCAATTCTTTGATACTTAGCAATTTGCTCGAATCGTGATTTTTTTTGTGCAGAAAAACAATTTTTTGATTCCTGATTTGACACCTTTTACTTGTTCGAAAATAGTAGCAGTAAGTGTAATAAGAAACCTTCTACCAGAATCGAACCAGTAACCTTTCGCTTACGAAGCAAACGCTCTACCATCTAAACTAAGAAGGCAATAAAATATTCTTATACGTTATCAATTCTTTGAGGACCCTTGTTGTCAACCCCACGCAACGGATGGAGCCGTACCTTCACTGATTTTGTTAAAGATCAGATCTTGACGCCATGGAATATATTCACGCTAAGCTCTATGACGGCCATGACGGGCCTCATATGGGTAAACTGGCCTTTCTTCACCAATAAATAAACTCCAACAGTACGCCATTTACAGCGGAATTGCGTTTGCTTCCTTCATCGCGTTCATTACACTGGCACAAATGTCTATGGACCTGGCCACGGAGAAGCTGTGGACGCCAGGGACGAGTTTGGACGTTCTCATAAAAACGGCCTAGTGGACTTATGATCCCTCCAGGGTAGCTATGATGGTAATAAGGGGGAGTATCACCCTACTCCTTCTATTCGGCCGTAGCCGACTACCTAGCCCCTTGGTTCTTGGAAGACTGCTTGGTCGCACTTCCGGGACCAATCATAATGACTATTGTTGAACATAACAAGAAGATAATAAAACAACTAAATATTACCTTCTTTCTCCCACAATCAATAGAGTCATCATCAATTGATGACTCTGACCTTGAGATAACTGATAGTGATCTGTAAACTCATTACATCCCCTGAAACTTAGGGATGTAAATAGCAGAGATAATCTTCTTAAAGAAGATCAGAAGTAGTTGTCTTGAAAGTGCTTTCAAGACATAGGGTTATCTCTTGGTCTTGACATGTGGAAGTCGAACAGTAGTCATTCCCTTCTCTCACTCAGGGCGAAGCATATCAACGAGCTAGAAGTTATTCCTTCGTTGATATCTCTGATCTCATCAAGGACGCAGGTGATCATTACGCGTTACCGTTAAGCTTTGAGATCTATGCTTTCTTTACAAGAAAATAGAAGAGATCTCTATATGAACTTCATGAAAGAGACTTACATCTCTAGAATTGTTAAATGTTGTAACGCTCATGTCTTCTCCCTTTGTTGAGATTGTCATCCATTGATCACACTAATTCCTCAGGAAAAGAGGATTACCCTTCTGACCCTATGTTCCCTGAAATCGTTAAGAAACACGATTAAACGGAATAGTCTTCTTCATAAAGAAAATTCATCTGAAAACAATATTCTTTCAAATGATTAACTTATCTCTCAACAAAGGCATGACTGAAAACATGCTATAGTCATTTCTTAAGGGCTATTGGGGATAGCTTCTCAATAAGAGAGGTTTGGATATCCACGCCCAATATCTTAAGACTTTCCAATAAACACTGAAAGAATTGTGATCTCTTCACCTTCGTGAAGGATATTAGTATTCTCAATCGTGAGGGATATTAGTATTCTCAATAAAGAGGGTTGTCGCTACTGCAACAATCAATAAATAAACAACCCAGTTGTTGACTTTGACATTTCACTGAATAACATAAACATCAGGATCAGACTTGATATTCAAACGACAAAGAGCTTTGGCACGGAGCGGGAGAAGCTGATCTAGGTGCGAAGTTGAGGTCAAACTTGACTTTAAGTTGACTAGCTGAAAACCTGGGATGCCTGATTCCACGCCATGAAGAAAGGGGAGAATCCTGTTGAAACATGAGGAGTAGAATAATGCACAGACGTAGATAGCATTAGCGCTTCTTCGAAAGGAAGTCCAAAATTGTTGACATGTTGTGAGCATGTGCATGGTTCCGGAGCCACAAAGCAGTGCAGAAACCGCTGACAAATGTGAAGAACAACTCACAAAGGCCGGAGTATGATGTATGGAAGTCATGTGGGAGTAATTTGACCGTTACACTACTGAGTTCACGGGCATTCGCGAAGGAAAACAGGCCGAAGCGTAGCTCGCATGAATGCTGAAATGAATACAACAGTGGCCAAAGTTAATAACTTCTCCATTGATGGCCGGAATAATCTGATAACGACAGTATAAACGGCCACACATGTCCATAATAATACTAAGATGGTCATAATCAGTCACCAACCGTTCGACGCAAGTTGGGAGAGCATGGATAATGAGAACGCAAGTGTGGGGGACATTTCAAATGATATTGGGGGAATGGGGGATTTATAAATTCTAAATTTATTAAAGACAAAAAGTCTCAACAATGAAACTTAGAATAGAGACTGGGCAAAAAACACTGAATGAAAAAGGGGGAGACCCCGAGACACATGCTAACAGGAAACGCATGAAGGCGTCTTTTGCGTTCAAAAATCTAATGATTCTCAGAAGCTCTCGGACTAAGAGAGGCACGAGAATAACTGGATCCTTATTAAATAAATTAGACTTGGCGCGGTGGAGTCTTGACCGGCAGGAAGTGGGTTTGAGACACGTGTGGCCCATACTCTTCTTTTGCATATTCTTTCAAGACGACTCTCTTTTCCGAGAAGCGCCATGTTGAACAGCCGCGGACATAGACTCCAAGAACCCTATAGCATGGCATCCAATGCGCGATGACTGGCTTCATTTATGGAATTTCCTTGAGGGTAATAAGCAGAGGTAAAGGCCAGTAGACAGCAAAGACGATTCAAAACGAAGTCACGAAAATCTTTAGAGCGGAATTGAGAACCTCTGTCGCACAAAATTGCAGTTGGAACACCAAAGATAGAGACCCAGAAGTGTCGTAGCATTACAATAAGCCACTCAGTAGTGGGGGGTATATTAGAAGGGCGAGCAAGGATAAATCTCGAAGAATGATCTATGATTTACCAAGGTGGTCACGAGGACCGACAAAATCCAGAGAAATAAGTTGAAAAGGTAAGGGACGTGATAGAATGCTGCTATATGTTGATAATTTAGATGGAGCAGCTCGACGGATACACACCTGACATGAATTGATATACAGATCGCTTCAAACATGGCCACCAATCATATCGAGAAATATGGCGTGTCGTGCGATTGATGCCAGAATGGCAGCCGAGAGTAGTCACATGGAACCAGTAGATGAAAGATTCACGGGGGAATAAACGGCTTATGGGTGCGGACGTGGTAACGAAGTCCATCAGAGCCTTTGTACGTCCATTTTAGTTCAGCTTCTGATAGCTCATCAGTGGCGGCTTTAATATATTCCACGGTTGGAAGGGTGACAGTCAGCTCAATCGAAGGAGGTAGATGAATTGTTGGAACATCAACATCGTTAGCAATAAATGTTGGGACTGCAATTTCATTGATGTCGTCAAAAGGGTCATCATCGTAAGTGTAGATAGTCGATTTGCTCCCAGAAACGACTAAGGACTTCCTCACGAACTTTCGGGTCAAACATTTTTCCAACTTCTTTGATGACAAGCTGCCCATTTCTCTCGTTGACTTGATGATACGGGCGGCTCGATGAACCTAACATCTGGAATACTGACTTGTCGAGTTTGAAGAGAGAGAAGGTCACGAGCAATAGCTGACTTTTTGTTGGGCATGATGGAGATGACGCGAGCTGGTAAGGACCATTTAGGGATCAACTTGTGGCGTGAGTCACCAGTATGTTGCGCATATTGGAGCTTGTCATGTGGTGTTGCGCGAACTAGAACTAACTAGTCAAGTTCAAAGTCAACTGGAACTCGATTTTGGTTACGGGCGTCATTTGCCTTTAGACGTCTGTTGTAGGCATTCCACTGGACATCGAGACGTAATTCGTTGAGAAAGTTTGCTAAAGTGGAATATCGCTGTACATCCTCCAGTCATTGTCAAGCGGTGCGCGCAGGTCGAGCCCATAAAGGAGGAAAGCTGGTGATTCGCCGGTGGTTGTGTGGATGTTGGAGCGGTATGAATAGAGGATCAGTTGTAGCGCTTCTTCAAATGAGACAGTTTGGCGGTTCGGCACTTCAAAATTGACAAGACGTGTGGCAAGGGTCTTGTGAAACGACTCAATTAAGGAATTGCCTTCTGGATGGTATGGCGTGATTGTTAGATCCTTTGTACCAAGACAGGCGTGTAAGTTGTGGACAAATGCGGAGGTAAATGTCTTGTCATTGTCAGTCATGATTACTTTTGGGACCCCAAACCGACAAATCCAATATTGGTGTAGTTGACCGGAACACACTCGGCTCATTTAGCGGACCCATCAATCATTGAAACGAATGTAGTGATGCTTGTTGAAGGTGCATTTGTAGAAGTCAGCGTAGACAGTGTGGAATGGGCCGTATACGTTTTGAGAACAAGTTCCATCCGGAGAAGGAGTGGGAAGTGTTCAAGGTTGCAGTTCATTGGTTCACTCAGGTGGCAAAATCAGACATACTAGCTGTAAAGCTACAGCTGGTACTTGCTTTTACATTGGATGAGCCCAACAGAGCAGGAAAGAGAGCGGACAAGAATAACGGTAAGAAAAAGCAAGAGGATTCACTTGATGGAGATTAACTTCGACGATGACGAAGAGGAGGATATTGGAGTGCGCTTAGATGAGACTTCTCTAATACTGCCATTCATCTGGTAATATTCAAAACTAACAAATATGATACTCATATAGAGAGTCAAGTAATATTGATAGGGCCAGATCATCTTGCCTCTCCAAAGTCGACAGCCCTCCTTCGGTACTCCGTGCAATAATGAAGAGGGTGCAGATTAGAGATAGAAGTGCAAATCTTGTCAAACATCTGTTAAATTGAAGACACCAACCGACAAGCGATGTGTGCACGGAAAACGGCAAAACTCAAGCTATTCATGTTCTGTAACGACGTCATCAGGAGTAGAAGCAATACCGAATCAGATAGAAGCGTTTTAGGAGAAAAGACTGTCATGATTTGTGAGTTGACAAGATTGACCGACTGATTTGAAGGAGACCCAGAAAAAGATACCGCGACATGCTTA